ACCAAGCTTGTTCGGTCAAGATGGCTGGATATTGGCCTCGTTCTTTTTTTGCGAGTTTATGGACCTCGACTCCGTCTCTGTCCATAAACACGCAAAAAAAGAACTTGGTCAATATCCAGCCATCTTGACCTCACACTTGGTCAATAATCCATACTTAGGGTGCTGTAACTCAGAAGACGTTTACCTTATTAGGCAGTTCATCGCCATATGGACTTTCAAGTTTGAATGAATCACCTACAGACATTTAAAGAAGACAACATAATTGACCATATTTTCAGAACTGCAATTCAAACTTTGCTGTCAGTAATTGAGGAAACTGAATGTATATCTCACCATTTGGGCAAGTTAAAGAGTCTGATTCAGGGTTAAAACTCAGGTCACCAGCAATGGACAGTGCAGTCACCATCTGCAGATCAATAAAATAGAGTGATACATTTAACAAATAAATTCCTTATTGCCGTGCGACTGTTCAGTAATTGCACGCAGATGACGTCAAAATATGCCAAGACAAAAGTGGAACACATACATACATACATACATACATACATACATTACATATTTTGTTTATTTATACTCGATGAATTGGAGCTTACTAGGCTCCTAGCTTAAATAGCTAATGCATCAAGTTTAAAATAGGTGATAACTGTGTGTGTCACTGATGTTAATGGTGTCATCTATGCATCTATTTTCCAATTGATCATACGTAAGAACTAGTCAAAGATATTATCTCAAATCTGTTTAAAAGCCATCTGCTAACATCTGCCTGTCAGACAGTCTGTCAGTCTGTCGGTCAGTCAGTCAATTGGTCAGTTAGACAGTTGGTCAGTTGGTCAGTCAGTCAGTCCTATGGTCTGTCTGTCAACCTTCCTACCAACCTACATATTTACCTACCCCAAAAGCAAACAAGAGGCCACATGTGCCACTATTACTACTACCATTTGTTATAAGTTTTGATTAACTGTTGATGACTTTGTGGTATCACCCTTTCCCTTTTTCAGACTTCCATATCAATCAAAGCACACAAACAAATTTATGTACCATTCATCAGCATGTAGAGTAGCTGCCTCGTTGCATATTTCCCAACTCCAAGACCAAACTTGGACAAAGATGCCACAAAAAAAACTGTACAAGTTGAGTTGTTCTTACCTCAGGCGATGTGACAAAAGCATGAGTAGCAGGGTTAGCATCATTACGCCCTGTGAAATTTCTGTTGTATGATGTGACTATTGTGTTAGCTTCTCCCATCTTGACATCTTTTCTGAAAACACAAAGCAAAGGTTCAGCCAATACATTTATATGTTAAACCACAGTTATACAGTGCGGACATCTATCACACTGAGTATCATCTGGGAAGGGAGCTCTTCCTCCACAAACCATGTTTACCAAGCTCTACTCAATGATGTTTTTTTCAGACCATAACTTCTAACTGTAGTCTATTCTTAGTGCAGCTTTTCACTCCAATCATTTCCTGAGATGAAGCTACAAGCTACAAGTTACAGCTTTCACTGCGTTGTGTTCTTGGACAAGATATTTTTCTCTCACAGTTTCCCTTTCCACCAGTACATTATAATATATATATGGATATCATAAAATTGACAAAATGTTGGGTGACAGGCCGTGACAAACCAGCATCTACTAATACATAAGGGGAGCAGCTATGCCGCTGATGTCACTTATATTAATATACCTCTATATACACCTGAGTGAAGGGCTCAATTGGGGAATGTGAATGTAAAACGCCTTGCCTGAGAAGACAATGAAAGAGAAGCGATGACAGCCAGGGATCAAACTCTTCATCACCATGTCTAAAGTCTACAAGACCATTGTACATGATCTAGTTTGAAGGTCAAACTATTTTCGTCAAACCTGTTCCACTGTCCAATGCAAGGTCCACAAGCATTTGCTAACACTGTTCCTCCAAACTCTCTCAATGTCTCTGCCTGTTAGAGAGACAAATTGAATACAAATTTTCGGGGCATACTCTAGCCAAGGAGTTCTCGTGTTCATGATTGACTATACGACTGCTTTACAAGAAGTTAAGTGAAGAGTCATTATCAAGACTTAACATAGGCTTTAACAGGAACCAGAGACCGTCACTCAAGAAAAGCCTCCTACATTCAGGGTGGGCTTTACATGTTCAACAAAATCAATGAACATTTAATACACAATCTATACATTTTAGTTCAAATTTCAAACAAGTTTGGTTTTTACTTCAGATTACTTACAATTCCATCTCTTTCAATGGTTGCACGAATTTGTTCAGATCCAGGAGTGACTGTGAACATTGACCTATGACAGAATCCGTAATTATACTTTTAATAAGTTTAACAGGGTTATTACCTTAATCCACTGATGGAGGTCCAATTTGTTTTATTTTTGTCTGAGATGGGCTCTCTGGATGTGTTTTCCACTTTTAGTGATAATATTTTCAAATTTACGTCTACCGTATTTTTAATGAATAATTATCATATTCATAAAATGGTTGATAGTTGAGACTTCTTGTTAATTCTATTTTGTCAAACCCATGTTGTGCTGCAGAGTGCTGACAAATCTGGCCAGCTTCACTTCCACTGAGGATATCAGATGAGGTAATGAGATTTCCTTCCTTAGTCTGTGATGGGCAGCAGAAGTAGAGTGTTTTTGAACTGAGATGGGGTAGGGGTTTATAAACAGTTTCTCATGAGAGCCCAGAAATTGAATGCAGTCATCAGATGTGCCCTTACCTGGATTTCAGTCCATGTTTGAGAGCCTGCTGTGCAATACTTGCAGCTCTTGTCATATCTTCATAGCTACTATTAGTACAGCTGCCAATTAGACCTGTCAAGAAAACAAGATAACAGCTTGTCAGTCAAACTCAAAATATTATTTTCATTATTTATATTTATATTTGCAACAATTGCTTCCGTGGCTTAGTGGAGATGAAGGTGGACTACAAAATCAGAGATCAGGCATTCAAATCTAGGTGAGTACAAAAGCAAATCTTGTGTATGGGAATAGTATGGTAAATGCTGTTGGGGGAGGTGATATAAAGACCTCAATAATACAGACATTCTGGGAGACATTATTTTCATTAGCGGTGCTGGAGTCAGTAATGTGCAACCCACCAACTCTAATGTCCATTGGCCAGCCTTTCTCTTGTGCTGTTGAACCTAATTTGGAGATGGGATGAGCCAAGTCTGGTGTAAATGGACCATTCACATGTGGCTCAAGCTGGGAAGAGAAAGCATTAGAGATTAATACCATCACAGTTGAGCCCTGCTATTTCAACTCTCATGGGAAACAAAAAATTGCTTGAAGTAGTGGGAGTTCGAAGTAACTAATGGTAAATAACTGAAGGGCACATCCAAGAGAAATTATTTTGAGCTTGAAATACTGTAACCAGGAATTCAAAATAACCAAGTTCGAATTAGCGCGATATGACAATAAAACTTAAGCTGATAGTTGAGTTTACTGCTCATTTTTTCTTTGTGAACAGACAGTACTTGAAGTCATGCTAGAACCAAGAAAACAAATCTCAAATTGTCATCTCATTGATTAGTTCAGTGCTCCAAACAACCTTCATCTTAAAAACCATTGCTAGCCAGCCAAATTAAATGCTTTATTGTTGGAGAGTAACAAGACATGCAATATCAACAACAACATTCTTTTTGAAAGACATGCAACTCCTCTAACTTGTAAAATTGGTATTCATCTTGAAACATGATGACTAACAATAGAGAGGAGGCACCAAGTGCTCACCTCACTGAGATTAATCTCGATGACTTGGTCATAATCTGCTCCACTGTCAGACTGAAGAAACGATGCATGTTTGTTGGCGAGGTCAGCAATCTGTGGCCTTCCAGTTGCAATGAGGTATTTCTCCATCCTGTTATTGTATGGAAAAACTGATGTTGTGGCACCAATTTCAGCACCCATGTTACAAATCGTTCCCATACCTATTAAAATGATGATAAGATGGAAATAGGGCTGTCAGGTCATGCATATAAATAACTTTTGTTTCCACTACTTAACTGCTGGTAGGATTTCTACAAGTTTGACAGTTTGGCAGCCATTTTCTTATGACTTAGTTCACTGGCTGGGTGAATGGTTACAAAACCCATTTGACACAGTCAATGATTTCTTCAGCTGTTTTAATTGCTCTAAATCTTTGGAGATCTCTTTGGATTTCAAATATCAAACAATTGGTTGACAGATACAACAATAAGTATGCCAAAAAAGTGCAAGTTAGCTGTCAGAATTTAATTAAAGAAGCATTTTTCAAAAGACACATGTAGAAAAGCTTACCTGTACAGGAAATGGAATCTACTCCAGGTCCAAAATATTCTACAATAGCGCCAGTTCCACCCTTTACTGTTAAGATTCCAGCAACTTTCAGGATAACATCTGTCAAAACAAACACAACCATACACAAAGTTACAGAAGTTTGTATCCTCTTATGTGTCACTTATGGGAGGCGTGGTGGCCTCATGGTTAGTGAGCTCAACTCTGGATCGAGTGGTCCAGGTTTGGGCCCTGGCTGGGGACATCATGTTGTGTTCTTGGGCAAGACACTTCACTCTAACAGTGCCTCTATCAATCCAGCTGTATAAATGAGTACAGACAAATTTAATGCTGGGGGTAACGATACAATGGACTAGCATCCTATCCAGGGGGGAGTAGAAATACTCCTAGTCGCTTTACGGTTAGTACAGAAACCAGAGATAAGTGCCAGCCTGATGGGCTGGCAGACTTTACCTTTTTTATGTGTAACTTAACTGAAGATTAACTTTGAACAATTGATAATTAAATAAAATCCATGACAAAATTGCTCATTGTGATTAATTCCAGTTCGCTCGGTTTACCTGTGATGACCATCCACCAAGGACACACCAATTTTCAAATTATATTGATTGCAAATGTTCACAGCAGACACAGAAATAGTACATTAATAAACAATCAGAAATTGAGTGGTTTGTACCTTTGGGTGAAGTCCAGCCCTTAAGCTCTCCAGTCAGTTTGACTCCTATGACCTGTTCATTTCAAGGAAAAAGTATTGGCCAAAATACTAGCAATGTTAATCACGGCAGATGACTCACAGCTACCTCCTTAGGAGAATTTCATTTGCAGCAACATCACTAATCCCATCATCAGCTTCACAAGCAACAACAACAACATCAACAACAATAGTTAACTTGTACCTCATCAAAAACATACACTGTAGTAGTTATCTTTAATAATTACATTTGAAGAAAAAAAGATAACAGGGCACCTAAAATAACAATAAGAAGCTTAAAGTGCACCTAACCCCCAAATTTTTTTTTCACTAAAACGAATCTAGACTTTATTTGAAGCATTTGGGTGAAGAAATTTTTGAATTTGATTGAATCCTCGATTTTCTATGCCTTTTCAAAGTCGCACTTGAAGTGTTTCACGACCGTGTTTTAGGGAGTCTGGGGCGGCGGTACCTGATGACGTCTACCCAGGAACCAAACACAATAGCGCCTCAGTCAACTCTCTGTATT